GCAGGGGCTGGCTAGGCCCACTGCGTCCTCTCAGTGCAGTGCTGCGCCTATTATAAAAAAAAACGCGGAAGTTGCGGCAAGCGCGGAAGATTCCGGGTCCCTCCCCCTTGGTCAGCAGCCCACTGATTGGGGAACCAGGATAGAGGAGTCGGAAGTGGCTGGCGAGCTCCACTTTGTACCGGAAGTGGAGCAGGGACTGGACATGCATCACTTCCGGTTTAACTCCGAGTCATGTGACGTCATCCAAACCACCGAAGGCTATTGTGAAGGAGCCGCGGTGTACGTCCGGCTTCAGCGCATCCCCAGCTCTGTGGAAAGCGGCCTTCTGGCGAGAGTAGGGGAGCCGCAGGTTGAAGACTGTGTGCGGGACTCTGCTAAGTCAGCACGCCTGTGGATGTTGGGGGTGGTAAAGTATTGTGTGATGCTGTTGTGGTACAGGCCCCTCTCGTGAGTCAGGGGGTGGGCGTATCTATCCCCGCTACCCCTCCGGCTCTGGGCCGCTAGGCCCCACCCCCTTGGAGGCTAAGGATGCTCATGTTACACAGCCCATTGCTAAGGGTCCCCCGGTTGGTTCTAGGGACTCCTCGGGTCAAGCCTCGCTAAGCCCCTCCCCTAGTGGTCCAGGCCCCCAGCCTCAGGTCCCATCTGCTCACGTATCACCAGGGGAGGCCCTTCTGAGTTCTGGTGCCCCCATTACAGCCCCCCCAGTTGCAGGTCCTTCTGCTGTAGGTGGCCCGGTGGCCAAGCCTGCCTTGAGCTATTCAGCGGCGGTGAGGGGAGGTCAGGAGCCAGCTAGACCACTCCAGGAGCGTGCTGGGAACCTGCCCACCTCAGCCGCACGCAGAAATGTGGTTCAGCTAAAATGGACCGGGGAGGGCCCCCCTTTAAGTTGCAGAAAGGTCATAGATTGGGTTCTAGAGATGGGATTCCGGGCAGTTGACATCTTTGCTTTCATCGCCCCGGTGGGAACGGGTGACTATGATGTCTCTTTCATGAGGGCTGAGCTTCTTGACCTCTTCTGGCAAAGGTTTGAGGCCACCTATATCCAGGTGGGTGGGCCTCACCCCCAAGCTTATCTCTCGCCAGAATGTGGTAAAGAAGGTTACAATCTTGGTCCGGAATGAGTCAGTCCCGGCCTCCGATATTGTCGTCTGGTTGGGGAGGTTTGGAGATGTTTTAGGGCCCCTGAGCAAAATTGTAGACGACAAGGGGATATGGACAGGTGGATGGACAACCACTCTCTGCCTGAAAGTGGTGGGTAATGTGCTAAAGCACATCCCCCTCCTCTGCTTTTTTGGGGAGGGATAGGCTCATTGTCTTCTACGCCGGTCAGCCATGGGTGTGTCACAGGTGTGGGGGGGCAAGGGACACTTTGCTGCCTCGTGTCCCGTCATCCGGTGTTCTCTTTGTCAGGAGATAGGTCACCTGGCGAGAGATTGCAACATCATCCATTGCAACTTGTGCAGAGTCCTGGGGCATGCCTACAGCCAGTGTCCTGAGGCTCTCCGTAACTTGTCCGAGGGTGAGTTGGCGGCGGAGCTGGATAGGCTCGATGCAGAGGAGGTGGCAATACAGGCAGCAAAGACCAGCTTGGCCTCTGCAGCAGCCTCTGGAGGTGGAGGTTCCTGAGGCCCCTTCTGCTTTTGTTGCCCCTTCTGTCTCTGTCCCCCCTGTTGAGTCTGCCCTTGTTGAGTCCTCTGTCATTTCCCCTGCTGTGCCTGTCCCCCCTCCTAGGAGAAGGAAGAGATTAGTGGAGGCTGCCCAAGGGGCAGGGGTGGTAGTTACATCTGGGCCCTCTGTGCCTGTTCCCCCAGTCCTTCTTCCAATGTGGAGGGGTGTGGGGCCTAAGAAATTTCCTCAGGAAGTCCAGGGTCCTGTCCAAGGTGGGCAGGTGGAGGTCCCAGTGGGGGAAGGGTGGTCAGTTGTGGGAAAATGGAATGAGGCAGTCCTTTCTACAGCAGGGTCAGTTTCCTCTCTGGAGGTGGGGGATCTGGCCCTGGACAACATGTTTGGGGCTCTGTCGGGGGAGGAGGGGGAAGTCTCAAGTGACCCCACTTCTCCGATGGAGGATGAGGAGGCGGGAGGGTCTCTAAAAAGGTTGAGGGACCATGCTAAAAAGTCCAAGAGGAAGGTTAAGAAACGCCCCTCTCAATCTCCTTGATGGAAGTTCCCACTCCGTTAAAGGTGGCAACTATTAATGTTGCCAGCGTGAGGTCTGTAAGTGCTAGAGAGACAGCCTTATTTTTGATCAGTGGTATGGATGCTGATATTTTCTTTTTGCAGGAGACCAGGTTGTCCAGCCTGGCGGATATACATCTGGCCAAGCGGGAGTGGAGGCGTGGGCCATCCTACTGGTCTCTTGCGGCTGAGCCTTACAGCGGAGTTTGCGGTGCTTTTTACCGGATGGTAACGTGCCGGCGGGTTATTGAGGTGGAGATTGGAAGATGTTTGATCTTGGATGTCCTTGTGAGGGGCAGGAACTGCGCCTAATCAATATATATGGACCGCAGTCCAAGTGGGACAGAAAGCGCCTCTTCACAAGGATCAAGCCTTTCCTTTTTATGTCCCGGCTGGTGGTCTTTGGAGGTGACTTTAATACCATAACTAGGCCCAAGGACAGGAGGGGCTTCAATGACAGGCTGGGATATGACAGCATTTTTCTAAATGCCATAGTCAGGGAAGCAGGTCTGGTGGATGCCTTGGTTAAGAGCAGCCCGGACAGCACTGGTTTCACATTTAGGAGAGGTAATAGTCATAGTAGGATAGACAGGTTTTTTTTGAAGGAGGACTCTGCCTTCTCGGCACCCGAGTGTCGGGCGGTGGAGTTTTCTGACCACCTTATGCTTACTGTGACTTTGAATGTTTCAGACACGCCGCTGAGAGGGAAGGGCATCTGGAGGTTGAATTCGTCTCTGCTGGAGGACGAAGAGGTGAGACAATCCTTCAAGGAGTTCTTTCAGGCTCAGGAGACTGTGCTGGATCTCTGCGACAGTAAGTCGGAGTGGTGGGAACTTACCAAGGTGCAGATTGGCAGGTTTTTCAAGGCCATTGGTAAATAAGTACATCGCCTACCAACGGTTGCGGAGGAAGCTCGACCACCTTGTTTCTAGCGGTGGAGATTCTGGGGCAATCTCAGAGGCCAAGCTTCTCTTCAGGAAGTACCAGTATGACCGGTGTACCTCTTTGGTTCTGGAGAGGGATTATGGGAAGTACCACTCGCCCGACCCTTTCCAGAATTGCAAACAGAGTGCAGCGATTAAGACGGTGTCAGGAATGGACTGGCCAGCAATGGTGGGACTCACCTGCCTTTTGATCTGCAGTACCAGGGCTGGCCAGCGGGTGCTCCCAGCAATCAGAGACTCAACCTTTCAGCCAGCTAACACCTGGAACTGATGATACTGGTGTCTGTCCTGCATCCTGTATCCTGTTCCTGCTCTCTGTTCCTGTCTGATTCTCTGCTGACCCTGTTCTGATCCCTGGCTTGTGACCCTGACCATCCCTCTGCCTGACCCTCTGTACCACGCTGCTTGCTACCTGTTCTGATCCCTGGCTTGTGACCCTGACCATCCCTCTGCCTGACCCTCTGTACTACGCTGCTTGCTACCTGCTGAACCTGGCCTGTGACCCCGACCATTCTCCGCTTGCTCCCCCTGTACCTACCTGCCCTATTGATATTGACCCGGCCTGCCTGACGACGCTTGCTTGTTTGTACTGTTATCTGTGGGTGGTTGGTTTGGTTTGTTTGCACTGTATTATGTTTTAGTATTGCACTGCGTTTATGGTTGTATTGTTAGTGTTAATAAATTACATTGTTTATCACATATCTGAAGTCTGCGTGCGTTTCCCTGCGTCAGTCACACATCTCTGGTCACACCTGGGAGCCCTGACATTACACCAAGGCCAATCCTGACCAGAAGTGGCTGCACAGGGAAGCCATCTTGGCTTGTTGATGGGAAGGATGGATCTGGATGAGGTTGAGTATTTATCTCTGCTAGTGCTTGATGACAGAGAGTATGCTTATCAGACTCTGAAGGAGTATCCCCGGGATGAACTGCTAGAATGTATACGGCTCGCTCATGTTCTAGTAGATCAGGGCACAGATTTCTCTATGGTGCAGCCATTGATTCAGGTTTGTGTTGAGTTGGTTTCATCTGGTTCCCCCGAATGCAGGGATGAATTTTTGCCACCATTTAGTGCAGACCAGGTAGAGTCCCTGGTGTGGTTATTAGAGGATGATGTGGGTTACTTTCTGGAGCGTTATTCCACATGTTCACCACAGACACTAAGAGATTGTATAAACGCAGTGCAGTCATTGACCAGACAGGCTTTGTGTAAGCTCAGCTTTGTTCAACCCCTACTGCAGACATGGACAGACTTGTTGCACCCAGCCTCAGTCAGCTTACAAAGACCCAGTCCTGCTTCTAACTCTACTCCTGTATTCCCACCAGCTCCTCCAGTTACAGCCCAGTATACTTGGCTATCTACCGCATGTCAGTACCCTGTTCCCACTCGCTGCACCTATCCTGCCTTTAACCCTGTAAAAAAGCCCTCTGTAGCAACTGCTCCCCCTTCTGTTCCATCCTCCAGTTCTTCTCTGTCTCCAGCTGCTCCATTCGTTTGCAGACCTGCGTTTACTTGCAGTGCTCCAGTAGTTAAAAAACAGAAAAAAAACGAAAATTCTTTCCAACCAATACCATCCTGCCAGTATCCAAACCGGTGAACCTGCCTTCCGTGACTCGGCCTGAAGCCTCTACTCGGCCTGAAGCCTCTACTCGGCCTGAAGCCTCTACTCGGCCTGAAGCCTCTACTCGGCCTGAAGCCTCTACTCGGCCTGAAGCCTCTACTCGGCCTGATGCCTCTACTCGGCCTGAAGCCTCTACTCGGCCTGAAGCCTCTACTCAGCCGGATGCCTCTCTTCAGCCTGAAAGCCTCTACTCGGCCTGAAGCCTCTACTCGGAAGCCTGGCCTGAAGCCTCTACTCAGCCGGACGCCGGCATTCAGCCTGATGCCTCTACCCAGCATGATGAACTGATCCAGCCTGACGATCCTATTAGGCCAGTTGACTCGATGCCCGCTGTTGATCCAGATGATCCGGTACCTGATCCGGTGCCCGCTGTCGTGCCAATTGACTCAGAGCCCGCTGTCGTACCTGGTGACTCGGTGCCCACTGCCTTGCCAGATGACGCGGTGCCCGCTGGCGAGCCAAATGACCTGATGCCTGGTGACCCAGTGCCCGCTGTCATACCTGGTGACCTGATGCCCGCCCGCTGTCGAGCCAGACGATCCAATGCCTGGTGACCCGGTGCCCCCGCTGTCAAGCCAGACAATCCGGTACCTGATGACCCGGTGCCCACTGTCGTGCCTGTTGACTCGGAGCCCACTGCCTTGCCAGATGACGCGGTGCCCGCTGTCGAGCCAAATGACCTGATGCCTGGTGACCCGATGCCCGCTGTCCAGTCAGACGATCCAATGTCTGACCCAGTGCCCGCGGTCATACCAGTTGACTCGGAGCCCACTGCCTTGCCAGATGACGCGGTGCCCGCTGTCGAGCCAAATGACCTAATGCCTGGTGACCCAGTGCCCGCTGTCATAACTGGTGACCCGATGCCCGCTGTCGAGCCAGACCTGAATCCGGTACCTGATGACCCGTGCCCACTGTCCGAGCCAAATGCCTGTTGACTCGGAGCCCACTGCCTTGCCAGATGACGCGGTGCCCGCTGTCGAGCCAAATGACCTGATGCCTGGTGACCCGATGCCCGCTGTCCGGCCAGACGATCCAATGTCTGCCCCAGTGCCCGCGGTCATGCCAGTTGACTCAGAGCCCACTGCCTTGCCAGATGACGCGGTGCTCGCTGTCGAGCCAAATGACTTGATGCCTGATGGGGACCCGATGCCCGCTGTCCAGCCAGACGATCCAATGTCTGACCCAGTGCCAGCGGTCATGCCAGTTGACTCGGAGCCCACTGTCGTGCCTGGTGACTCGGCGCCCGCCGCCTGAGGGCCCGAGACCCTGTCGCTCCACCTGGCCCGGCGCCCGCCGCTCCGCCTGAGGGCCCGAGACCTGTCGCTCCACCTGGGGGTCCGGCGCCCGCCGCTCCGCCTGAGGGCCCGAGACCTGTCGCTCCGCCTGGGGGCCCGCCCGCCGCCCGCCGCCTCCGCCGCCTGGGGGTCCGGCGCCCCTGCCGCCCGCCTGGGGGGCCCGAGACCTGTCGCCCCCTGCTCCGGCGCCCGCCGCCCCGCCTGGGGCCCGAGACCGCCGCCCGCCTGGGGGTCCGGCGCCCGCCGCCCCGCCTGAGGGCCCGAGACCTGTCGCCCGCCTGGGGGTCCGGCCCGCCGCCCGCCTGGGGGCCCGATGCCTGTCGCCCCCGCCTGGGGGCCCGGCGCCCGCCGCCCCGCCTGGGGGCCCGATGCCTGTCGCCCCGCCTGGGGGGCCCGGTGCCTGCTGCTCCGCCTGGGGGCCCGATGTGCCTCCGCCTGGGGGCCCGGCGCCTGTCGCTACCGCCTGATGGCCCGCCTGCTGCCCGCCCGGAGTGCCCGATGCCTGTGCCCCGCTGCCCGATGCCTGCTGCCCGCCCCCGTGCCTGCCCCCCGATGTGCCCTGATCTGCCCGATGAGTCCTGCCCGATGTGCCTCTGCCCGAGTCCTGCCCGATGTGCCTCTGCCCGGAGTCCTGCCCGATGTGCCTCCCGATGTGCCTCTGCCCCCGATGTGCCTCTGCCCGGAGTCCTGCCCGATGTGCCTCTGCCCGGAGTCCTGCCCGATGTGCCTCTGCCCGAGTGTGCCTCTGCTGCCCGTCCTGCCCGATGTGCCTCTGCCCGGAGTCCTGCCCGATGTGCCTCTGCCCGGTGTGCCTCTGCCCGGTGTGCCTCTGCCTGGAGTCCAGCCCGGTGTGCCGCTGCCCGGAGTCCTGCCCGGTGTGCCAGTCTTTGATATCCCGCCAGTTACCAGACCCGGGCGGTGGAACATTTTACCCAGCTAGGACTGTTTGGAGCGTCCTGAGGCCGCTCCTTGAGGGGGGGGGTACTGTCAGGAATGGACTGGCCAGCAATGGTGGGACTCACCTGCCTTTTGATCTGCAGTACCAGGGCTGGCCAGCGGGTGCTCCCAGCAATCAGAGACTCAACCTTTCAGCCAGCTAACACCTGGAACTGATGATACTGGTGTATTTAAGGGATGGCCAGACTTGCAGACTCTGCCTTGGGTGTTGTGTTTGTCCTGGGCCCTGTATCTGTCCTGCATCCTGTATCCTGTTCCTGCTCTCTGTTCCTGTCTGATTCTCTGCTGACCCTGTTCTGATCCCTGGCTTGTGACCCTGACCATCCCTCTGCCTGACCCTCTGTACCACGCTGCTTGCTACCTGTTCTGATCCCTGGCTTGTGACCCTGACCATCCCTCTGCCTGACCCTCTGTACTACGCTGCTTGCTACCTGCTGAACCTGGCCTGTGACCCCGACCATTCTCCGCTTGCTCCCCCTGTACCTACCTGCCCTATTGATATTGACCCGGCCTGCCTGACGACGCTTGCTTGTTTGTACTGTTATCTGTGGGTGGTTGGTTTGGTTTGTTTGCACTGTATTATGTTTTAGTATTGCACTGCGTTTATGGTTGTATTGTTAGTGTTAATAAATTACATTGTTTATCACATATCTGAAGTCTGCGTTTCCCTGCGTCAGTCACACATCTCTGGTCACACCTGAGACGGTCTCTGCCCTAAGGGATAGTACGGGGTCCCTGACAAGATCTAGGTCAGGGATCCTGGAGGTCTCTAGGTCCTTTTATGAGGACTTGCTGGGTGAGAAGTGCCTCGACCGGACAAGGATGTTGAGCTTTTTGGAGTCTACACAGGGTCTGGACGGTAATGTTCCGCTTGCGATTTTGACTGGGGAGATTACTGCAGAAGAGGTGGTCAAAGCCATCCATAGTCTGGCCATTAAGAAGACTCCTGGGCCAGACAGCCTGACAGCCGAGTTTTTTAAAACCTTTAAGTCCAGCTTGGCGCCTCACCTCGCGGAGGTTTACAACTGCTGTCTGGATGAGGGGTCCCTCCCTCCCTCCATGAGGCAGTCTGCAGTGATTCTCTTGTCAAAGGGTAAGGATCCTTCGGCTATTGAGAATTGGCGCCCCATCAGCCTTCTCAATGTCGATAGGTTCTGGCTAAGATCTTGTTCTGGCGCCTGTCATCAGTGGCGGATGGCTTGCTTTCACGTCAGCAGCATTGCTCGGTCCAGAGCAGGAGTACCTTCACAGCAGTGTTAGATGTCCGGGAGGCCCTGGAGCGGTGTGAGGCTGAAGGATGGGGAAATTTTCTGCTGGCAGTGGATCAGGCAAAGGCCTTTGATCGTGTCAACCATGAGTACCTCTGGTGTCTCCTTGACCGGTATGGCTTGGAAGGGAGGTTTATTGGCTGGCTGAAGACGTTGTATAGGGAGGCTGAGAGCTTCATGTTGGTGAATGGCTGGGTTGGGCGACCCTTTGGGGTTGGATCCGGGGTGCGCCAGGGGTGCCCGCTGAGCCCTTTGCTCTACGCCTTTGCCATCAATCCCTTCGTCAGTAGGCTAGATGGTGGGGCGGTGAGTGGAGTGCCGGTGGGGTCCACTGGGGATCCACCCCTGAGGGTCGTGGCTTATGCTGATGACGTTTCTGTTTTCATCTCTGGGTCGGAGGAGGCGCAGGAGGTGGTCTCAGTGATGGATCAGTATGCCGAGGCATCTGGCTCCAAGGTCAACCAGGACAAATGCAAAGTTCTCTGGATGGGGAGGGAGGGTGAGAGCTTCTCACTCCCGGACACCTTCCCGGTGCCTCAACAGAGTATAAAGGTTTTAGGCATCAATTTCGGCCCTGCTGATTATAGCAAATCAAATTGGGAGGCCAAACTGTCTGGTGCCGAGGTCAAGGTGAGATGCTGGAAGGGGCGGTGGCTCTCCTTGAGGGACAGGGTTGATTTGATCAAGACTTTCCTGGTCCCCGTGTTTTTGTATGTCAGTTTTGTTTGCCTCTTGCCAGAATCGCTCTATACGAGGATCTGCAGCTGCTTCTTCCAGATGTTATGGGGGAACAGGCTGAACCTTGTCAAGCGGGACGTGACCTACTCATCCAGGCCACCTAGGTATGGTCAACCCGGTGGTTTTTTTCTCTCTGATGTTCTTGAAACATAATTTTGGTAACATGCTGGCAGAGAGACTACCTGCATGGATAGGACTGTTTTGGATCTGGTTTAGACCCTTTCTGAACAGTTGGGAGAGTGGCGGGCCAGTGAAAAGCCTGTGGGTCAAGCACGGTAAACTCCGGGCTTATGTGGCACCGTGCCTGAAGTTACTCCAGCGGTGGCATGTGACGGTGGAGAAGGTCAGATCCCTCCCTAGGAGACTCCTGGGTGAAAGGATTGTGGCGACCGCCTTCCATGCTCCGTTGGCCTTGAAAGATTGCCCAGGCCATATCATGAGGGAGGGTTTACGTTTAATAAATCAGGAGCGGATTCTCTTGAAGTTTAGGGACCAGGCCTGGCTCGCTTTCCATGGCAGGCTTTACGTGAGGGGTAATTTGAAGTACCGTCCTCCGGATGACCGTGGTTGTCCGAGGTCGGAGTGTCATGGTGAAGTGGAAACTATGGACCACTTCTTGCTTCAGTGCCCCTTTAACGTGGAAGTGTACAAAGAGGTGGATGGGGCTCTAGGTGTTTCTTTCCTGCACTGCATGACTTATGCAGAGTGGGTGTATGGAGTATTCGAAAGCCGCCAGGGTTTTGATTTGGACACTCTTGTTCTTAGTCAGTTTAGTGGTCCGATACTACACGTGGAATGCACGGTGCCAGGTATCCCTTCGGCAGAAAGTCCTCCCCGTCCAGGTGGTGGTGTGTGGCATCCTTGGTGAGGTTGGGAAGATTCAGGGTCTGGAGAAAGACAGGTGGCGGCGAAAGGCCTGGATGGAGGCGTGGAGGAACATCAGGCCTGTAGCTGCTGCTTGTTGATCTCGGGTGGTGGGGTCTGTCCCTATTTTCCTCTCCTTTCACCCCCCCTAGATTTTGTAGTTGTGGATCCTTTTTGATGGAAGGCTGCAGGCGCTGAAGATCTGGGTATGTATTCTTTTTTTTTTGATGTGGTGTATTTGGGTCATGAAGGCCCCTGAAGCAGTAGAATGGAAATTGTTTATTTCTTGCTAAGTTTATTGGCCATAATTGAGATGGCCGTTTCTTAACCTTTGTTTTCCCAACCTTAGTAGGGTATTTGACCCTCTTGAGGGAACCCCCTGCTTCCTCATCCTCCATAGGGGATACAGTATCACCTTCATCCTCAGATAACAAACTATATTTGTTCCCTAGGGAAACTTCTCCAACCTCAATAGAAGAGCAAGATGACGCAGATGATAGGATTGGCCTATTTCTACCACCCCCTCCTACCACTGACCATCCCTCT